CGGCGCCGTCGGTGGATTCGAAGACGGAAGAGAGACGGAGCAGATCTGCGATCTGCCGTGTTTTGGGATGGGCTTGTCGCGTCGTCTGCGGCGGCGACACCCTATCCCAGACCCGCGACGGCATACAACGGCGCTGGACAGGGGAGAAGGAAGAGGAGGGGAGAAGGAAGAGGAGGAGGTGAGAGGCGGATTTGTGGAGGCAGATTTATGGAGTAGTTGGGGTAAGATCGGGGTTGGAAGAATAACAAATTTGAAGGAGATAGAGGGAGTGGTTTGATGAGCAGAGGAAGGTGGAAGGATGTTTGTTGGTAGAGAGAGAGGAAGATCTGAGGACAAAATGACGAAGAGAGTGTAAAGAAAATAGGAAGAGTCTGGAATTTCGGGTTTGGTCGGGATCCCGAACCGGACCGAAATATAACTCGGTTCGGACAAACCGAACCGAGTTATATTTCGGTTCGACTTCGGTTTCAGGTGTAGATTGATCGGTAGATCCGGTATCCTTAATTTCGGTTCGGTTTTGACCGAACCGAACCGATGCCCACCCCTAGAAGACGAGCTAGCTAATGACTGAGGAGGGAAGCTAGGAATAGGGGTGTCGGTTCGGTCGGGTTCGGTTACCCAAATCGAAACCCGAAAAAACCTGAAAACCCGAAACCGAAAATCACTAAAACCGAACCCGATAAGGACTTGCGGGTTTCGGTTACCCGAAACCCGAAAATTCCTTATCGGGTTCGGGTTCGGTTAAAGCGAAACCGAAACCCGAAAACCTGAAAGTTTAAAAATACGGGATGAGTTCTATTCATTGGAGGTTTTTAGCCGGAACCCGAAAAACTGATAAGCAAAACCGAACCCGAAACCGAAAAACCCGAAACCCGAAACGAACCCGAACCCGAAAAATCGAAAATGTACATAATCGGGTCGGTTTCGGGTAAACCCGAAAAACCGAACCCGAATGGACACCCCTAGCTAGGAACTGCTCCTTCATTGCCACTCTGAGCCCAAAATTGGTAGCTACCGTTGTACAAGCCACGCAACTCCTCGTAACTTGGAATTGGAGTAGGCCAGCAATGGACACGAGGCTGGAACACTACAAAACGATTGACAGCAGTCCCCCCTTCCAGTTTAGCGAACAACTCTACCTCTTGTCTTTGCAAATCCCAGGACAACATAGCATTCGTATCATCACCAGCAAGCCAGTTGAACAAGACAACTTCCGGCTTATTTGGATGCAGAATAGGTAGATAACAGCTATCAACTTGATAGTTACCACACTTTGATGTCTCATTCACCAAACCCTCACACAGTTTCCTCCAAGATTTACCGTCTTCTTCTTCTAGACTCCAAATGCTTAAACGTCGAACAGGTGATGCGTTGTCTTCAAATGCAATAACGTGCAGCGCTCCTCGTGAGACCGAAATCACCCACCAAGGTTTCGCAGAGAATGCAGAAACATCAATAGAAGTAGGGGGTATATCAAGTCGGAAAGGATTAAAGGCAGCCACCAAACGATTAATCTGGCCAGCTTCCAAGTCTTCAACTTTATGATACGACCAGAACAACTTCCCATCCGAGGAAGAAATTATGCGTTTGCAACCGCGCCTGATATGACCTTTAAGAACAAGGGCCTCCCTGATCCATTTCCCAGACTCTGAACAAAAGACGTCTAGCTTCGTGGTCAAGTCCACTTGATACATACACATTACTCGGAACCGATACTCGGAAGAATAAACAAATGCGGCTTTGTCGTCATCATCATCTCCTAGATCGAATTTCTTAGGATTGCAGGGTTCACAAACTAACCTCGTGACGGCTTCATCATACCCAACAGGCTTTTTAGGCGCCAGAGGAAGGGCAATCCACTGCTTGGTGAACGGATTGCAGACCAGGTAGGATCTCCCCAATTCGTCGTTGTGGTTGCCCAGATCCCAGAACCCGCACAAAACCAAGTCCCTGAAGCAATCCAGAACTCTTAAAGCGTCGCGAACGTATCTAAGAGGCATGCGAGGGAGGACGCTCCGAATGGTCGATTGCAGCTCGTTGGGATCCTCCGGCATAGGAAGTTGGTTCAAATTCAAACCCTGGTGGTGACAAACGAAGCGGCGATTGAAGGAGGGTCTGGAGATGAGGGAGCTCCACCGCCTGCAGACTGTTTTACACCGGCAAGCGGATCTAGGATCGGGGAGGCGGATAAGAATCTGTACGAGGAGATCGTCTCCGAGCTGGCTGATCATGGAAGGAGGAGCTTCTGAACGGATCCGACGAGGACGTTTCCATGGGGCGGAGGAACGGTGAAAGAGGGATCTTAGCGGCAGATCCCAATCCGAGTTGTAGATCTTGGTCGACATTGCGGTTGGAAGAAAGATAGCGCCGGCGGCGGACGAGAAAGGATATATTCAAAACCAGAATGAGTGAAAATCCCAGAGAGGGAGAGCCAAGCTACTGAAAAGCCCCGAAGCGAATTTTACTTAACCGGCGGCGACCGCTTCCTTGTTCGGAACCTCATCCTTCTCGGGTTAGGACTTGGGCCCGATTGTTTCGTTTCAAGCCCCACAATGTGAATATGGGCTGGGCTGCTATTCTCTTCGTGGGCTGAGCCGAATTCTTTAACCGAGCATATTTGAAACTTTTGTTCCAGTGGTTTCAATTTTAACTCGATTATCAAAGCACCAAATAAAATACATGGTCCATGAAATCGTACAGGAAAAGTCAGCTATTTATGGATGGTTCAACAGTTTGTTAAATATCGTTTATTGGTTCCGCCTCCGATACTGATATTTTGTGGTTGAACCACCGATATAATGTAGTTTCATGGACCATAACTAAATCACATCTACAAAGTGGTAATCGATGTCAACCACCAACGGAAGACTCTAAAATAGAGATGTTTATTTTTGGTTGGTTATCACGAAGGGTAATGGAGAATGGAGATCTTTATTGCCAAATTTGAGAAAAATTGTAAGTTTGGTCACTGGAATTACTAAAAATAGGATTTTGGTCATTATTTTTTTTATATATTCGTTAACCACTAAAATTAGTTAAACATTTCATATTTGGTCACTCTCCATTAGTCTCTATTAGGAATGGTAATTAAAACCATGATCGCAGGTATGGGTAAAACACAACCCCCCTCCCCCCCAAAAAAATTTAGATGGGCATGGGGTATGATTTTAGCCACCATGCCCATACTCATACCCATACCTGCCCACCAAGAATATTTCTTCACATTTAAAAAATACATTGACCAAATTGTAACCTATCAATAATAGTGAGAATAACTCAAGAAAATAAATAGTAGAAATGAAATTGAGTTGTTGCCTAAATCGAAACCTAATTCTTTTTCATCAACTCTCCCTTCACTCTTTCACTTTTCCCCTCGTGTTAACAAGATATATTGTTATGTGTCGTTCTTCTCGATGGGTTTAAGGGGGGATTTGGGGCTCTGTTTTGTAAGAATGGAACAGAGGGGTTAAGGACAAGAGACAGAGGGAAACGAAGAGAAGGGAAGAAGAGTTGAAAATGGCTTCTTCGAGGCAAAGTCGGCCTCCTTAATACTAACGTGTTCCTTTGATTAATCTTCTTGGCTCCTAATTACAACCGTGCAAACTGAATTAAATAGGCAAAGCTCAAACCTACTACTCCTAAAAACTAACTACAGAGCACTATCCCACTACCAACAACCCAAATAAAAAACCCTAATTTTCAGCCACTAATTTGCACGTAACATACCATCCCTCTTCGAAAGATTCTCGTCCACAAGAATCAGCTGTGGACTTCGTCTTCGTCAATCCGGGCTTCGATATTTTTTCCGGAATCGCCAGTTCACCACGCGACCCGACATTGGCCTCCCCTCCGGGACTTCACCCTTGGAGTCGATGACTGTGGAACACTGACCAGTGATGAAGGTTGTGGTTGGTACTGCATTGTTTGCCAGGATAGCGGCAGGTGTAGGCCTTCCCTCCAACTCCAAAAGACCTGTGGTTCTTGGAATCGTTACTGGCGTCTTCATAACTCCACCAGCTTTGAAGTCAACGTCATCCTTGTCAAAATTGGCCTCGGCGAGTGGCTTGCTGTGGTTTGCGATCTCGGAGCTCACCCCGATGAACTCGACAGTGTTGGCTGGTATTGAACAAAAATGATATACACTTTGATATATTTTTCAAACAAAAAAAATTGTCCCATTTTTTACCAGTCTGTACCATATGGTATTGACTGGTATTGAAATAAGAGCATACCTATGATTTAAAAAGCGTACCATGGTGGTATGAACAAACCAAGACTGTAGGATGGTTGAATACATGATAGTAGAAGTATATTAACTGTCATTTACGACTTTTAACATTGTGTACCACAAGATACCATCCCGTACCAGGGTGGTATTGTGTGGTATTTTTTGGTCCTATATTTTGTTCACCCAAAAATTTGTAGATCCAATAGATCATGATGAACTCGTCCCTTTTGTGCAAACGTTTTCAAAAACGAATTAAAAACGAAGAAAATACCATATGGTATGTAGTTGGTACCGAGAGGTCATAATTTTTTTTTTCACAAAAAATATTGAAAATTGATCTCATTTTGTAGAACACGATGAACTCGTTCCATCTGTGCAAAAAAAAAAAAAATTTAAAATTCGAGTTAAAACGAAAAAGATATGAGCCGATTAAGAAAGCTAGGAAAAATAAAAATGATCTTTAATTCTCCATCCTTAGATCTGGATTTTCTAAATGAAGGGTCCGGATTTGGTTATGCACCCTATCTTGAGCCTGAGTAGCTCCATCACTCCCAACAACCCGAGCTCGTACCAAGTGGCAGCCGCTCCTGACGACGGACGATGGCTCGAATAATATGATCCACTCCCCAACGAGATGGCTCCTGCAGCCTCAAAGCACCTTTGACAGGACCTGGAAATCTCAAGGACATAGATGGTAAAATCAGAACCCATTGCTTACTAAGAGTAATTGTTTTTTTTTAAACAACAGAGATTTAACCCAAATCAAACTTGATTAATTACCTGGAGGAGGATAAGGAAGCTTTGGCGACGTTTTACGCAGAATTGCCTGCTTCAGCTCTTCTTTCTGCTTTCCCAGAGAGGTTATATCAGCTTCAACGTCTTCCAGATCAGCTCTCATCAGATCCCATTCGTCGTTGTACACCGGAGACCGGGGCCGCCTATGTCTCGAATAGACATTCTCGTCGCCGATTTCGTCCTTCCGACGCTGAATGATTGCAGCCACCATCTGCATCGTCGCCTCTGCGGTGACGTTTTGGATGTAACCCTTGTAAAAGGCCGATTTCATGACACGATCCATGCTGCGAATTAATTTTCACAAATTGATTTCATTAGATTAGTAGCTAAATCAGCCAAACGGCGAGTAGACTTAGTCACTTAGCGATGGCAAATTTTTGACCTTAAACCGCACGCAACGAGATATATGGTACTGTTTCCGACCTATCTCACTCGCTCGTCACTTTTTCTTGTTCTTCGACTCGTTTATCATGATTTATATCAATGTCTACTTGTATTTTTTTTTCCTATTTTGACCTATTCGGCTATTCCAAATTATATTTTCGTCCCAAAAGAACTTTCATATTCTATCTTTCGATTATTTATACTCAATCATTATTTCTATCATATATCGAAGTATTTTTTTCCACGCTTCTTATGAAAGAGTTAAAATATCAATGTTGGTTTTTCAAAGAACATATAATAATGGAGCGACACATCTCATTTGGTACCGGCCGGTACGAATACTGCCCGAACTAACTCGCACTTAATACTGGACGGACGGGTATTGAGGTACCCGACCGGCCTCGCCTAATTGCCATCACTAAGGACAATTAGTAGCTAACAGACATGCCAAAGCAGTAAGGAATACAAGAAAAGCAATTAATCACGTTACCAATTGATGAGGGACGGAGGGAGCGGGGGAGTTTTTGCTTTTGCTCTCTGAGTCTGAAACCAAAAGCTATAGCTTCCATCGTAGACGCCTTGCAGCTCCCTGTACCTTGGAATCGGCGTCGGCCAGCAACAAACTCTGGGCTGGAACACCCGGAGACCATGACCGTCCGGTAACCCTGCTAGTTCACCAAAGACCTTCAGCTCTACTTCCCTTGTCGAATCATCGTCGTAGCACAATATCGCATTCTCATCCTTGCCGGCGTGGCAACGAAAGAAGGCGATTTCCGGTTTGTGTGGATGTAGACCAAGCGGATGACAGCCACCCCCAACGACGTCGTAGTTGCAGCACTTTGATCTCTCGCTCAGCGATCGCTCAAACTGTTTCCTCCAAGATCGACCGTCTTCTTCGAGTCTCCAAACACTTAAACGAACGGGTAGGGTTTCGTTTTCTAGTGCCACAACGTGCAAAGCACCTTGTGAGACGTAAGCAGACCACTTGGTTTTCACGGGGAATAATGCAGGAGGATCGATAGAAGCGGGAGGCATATCAAGACGGAAAGGATTAAACCTAGCCACCCAAAATTTACGCTCATCGTGCCCTTTATAATACGTCCAAAACAACTCCTCGTTGCATGAAACCAGGGGTCTAAGGGTAAACCGGCCACGACAAAAAAGAGCTTCCTTGGTCCATTCTCCCGTCTCCGAACAAAACACGTCTGCTTTCGAACCAACATAAACGTCTATGTACGTACGCACCACCCGAAAACGATACTCGAAATAAACAAACGCTTCGCCATCGTCATCTCCCAAATCAAGCTTGTGAGAAATAATGGGTTCACAAACTAACCCTGCTTGCTCCCCATAACTGCGAGAAGAAACCCTAGGTGCTAAAGGAAGAGCGATCCACTGCTTCGTAAACGGATTGCAGACCAAGTACGACCTGCTTCGTTCGTCCTTCTCGTAGTCTTTACCTACATCACAAAACCCGCATAAAACCAAGTCCTTGTTGCAGTCCGAAACTCTCAGAGTGTCTACAACTCCATGAGGCATGGGAGGGAGAAAGCCGCGGATGATCCGTAGCAGCTCCAACGGATCGTCCGGCATCATCGGCGGGTTGGTTTCCCGGCCGTGAGAAACGAAACGGCGGTTGAAACGGGGACCGGAGATGAGGGAGCTCCACCGCTTGCAGACGAGTTTGGAGGAGCAAGCGGATCTAGGGTTTGGGAGGCCGCGGATCAGAATCTCTACGAGGAGGTCGTCGCCGAGTTTGTTTATGGTCGTGGGAGGAGGAGGAGGATGAGGGTTTGCTAATCCTGATGAACGGATCATTCGTCGTCGTTTTCTGGAACGGCCACGGAGTACGTTTAGCGGGAGATCCCAGTCCAAGTCGCTGTAGTAGTTCTCGCTCGCCATGGCGGTAGGTAGATGGATAGCTAGCTAATTAATTAGGTTTCGTCATGTATGGTTTTGATTCTTCTATATGTATATATACAAACTTTGATCAGAAGAAATTGTCTCAACTCTGTCTCAAGTACTCCTAATCCGACAAGGAAAAACACAAGTAAACTCGGTTTGTTAACAACGATGAATCTACGTACGTATTGTTTATGAAAGGTTTGTTTTAATTTTTTGTTTGAAGATATATTTTTCTAGGGACGGGATACAATAACAACATCCTATTGTTTATGAAAGGTTTGTTCTAGGGACGGGATACAATAACAACACCCTATTGTTTATGAATCTACGTACGTATCTGTTGTTATTGTAACAACATGATTCATTAAGGGCAAAATTGGAAACTTACAATAAAAGTAATAAAAATAAAAATTAATGAGATCCCCAAAATTTCAATTCCCCTCTGCTCTGTTCTCCATCGCAATCGTTCTCCTTCGACTGCAATCTATGAGATCCCCAAAATTCCAACTCTCCTCCGGCGGAGAAACCCTACTCCGGCGCCGATGAAGGTCAGTACACAGAGGACGATTCTTCTCTAACGACTTTGATCTGGACTGGACCTCCATCACTTACAGGGCCGATTCTTCTCCAACGACTTCGATCTGGGCTGGATCTCCTTGCAGCGACCGGAATGATTCCACCATTCTTTTTCCGTCCAGAGCTTCCCGGCAACCGGCGACAGCAGCAGCGGCCAAAGATAGGAGATAGATGGAGTTCGCGACGGTAGCGATAGAAAGAAGTGATGGTGGCGGGAGAACGGAGAAGGCGGGGAGAGTGGGAAGCGGCATAGGCTTCATTGTCGCCGGAGACAGCCGGAGGAGATTTCCTTCGCTCCGATTTGCCTTGCATGTTCCTTGCGCGGCCGCCGCCGTTCTGTCCGCTTCGTCAATCCACCGAATCTAGCAGCTGCAGAAACCCAATTGCCCCTTTCGACGACAAATCTCTGGCGTTGCTCGGATCGTCATCACTCTTCTTCAACGTTTGCAGGCTGGTGGGACGGCTCTGAATCCCCGACGACGTGCGTCCCCTCTCTTCATTTGTGATTCGTTTCTTTCTCCAGAAAGTGGTGAGAAAGAGAAGGAAGGAAGAAATTGAGTTACAGTTACCTTTTTTCTTTTTCTTTTTGGTAATAGGACACGGTAACAGAATAGAGAGAGAAGAAATGAGGTTATTATTAAAATTGGACTTTTGGGAAGATACTAAGGATTGAAAGAAAATTGGGTTTCGGATTTTCGGAATATTATTGAAATTTTGATGTTTTAAGCAAATCAGAAACTTGTTAATACAAATCATGAATACGGTAAAACAAACTTAAAAAAACATAATAAAAACCTCCTAATGCAGACCACAAATCTCTTAAACCATATCAGAAACTTCACAAAGCAAATCACGAATATTTTACAAGTACACCATAAATCTCTTAATGCAAACAAAAAACGCGGTAAAGCAACCCACAAAAAGCGTACAAAAAACCTACCAACGCATACCACAAATTCCCTAAAACAAACCAGAAATCTCACAAAGCAAACCATAAATATTTTGAAAAGCACACCAGAAACCCCTTAATGCAAACCACAAACACGGTAAAGCAAACCACACAAAGAAAACCAGAAACATCCTAATGCAGACCACAAATATATTAAAACAAACCAGAAACCTCGAAAAGCAAACCACAAAAGTTTCGAAAGCACACCAGAAACTTCTTAGTGCAAACCAGAAACCTCCTAATGCATACCACAGATCTCCTAAAACAAACCACAAACATCACAAAGCAAACCACAACATTTGCGAAAGCACACCAGAAACCTCCTAATGCAAACCACTAATATATTAAAACAAACCACAAACCCCTCAATGCAAACCACAAAATTTTTGAAAGCAAACCGGAAACTTCTCAATGCAAACCACAAACACGATAAAGCAAACCATAAAAGGCATAAAAAATATGAGAAACCAAACCATAAATCTCACAATGCTAACCATAACATCCGGTGATCGTTGATCGTTGACCGGTCAACGAACTTCGTTGACCGAACTCCGGTGATCGTCAGTGAGCAGATTCCGACGCCGATTGGCATATTCCGGCCCCGATGACTAGATTCCGACGCCGGTAAGCATATTCCGACGCCGGTAAGCATATTCCGGCCACAAATAGCATATTCCGGTGACAAAAAGCATATTCCGGTGACCGGCGATCATTTTCCGGCGACCGGTGGCAGAATTTCGGCGACCAAATTTTTGGGCAGAAATTAAAAAAATATTTTTTATTTAAATCGATTTTTCATAATGACAATTATACCCCTGCTTTGATTTTACACTAGGTCAACTCATCTAATACAAAGTTATCACAATCCTAGCTTCCTATTGGTTGGGGACTAGTGTTGTTACAATAACAACACAATGAGTGTTGTTATAGTAACCGGTCCCTCCCTAGTATTTATACGTTGAGATCGTGCTCACTAAAACAACAATATTTTTCTGTGTTATTTTATCCATGGTAATTAATCATTGTAAGATACACCAATAATTGAGAGACCGATATTCTTATTAGCAGCTTCCTAGGCAAGGCATTGGATGAAAGATTGGATATCTTTAAGGCTTCAAACAAAAGGTTCGAAATTGCTACGAAGGCTGTTTTTCCCGCAGAAACGGTGTCGTCCTGTCCGTCCAAAAGTAAACCCTACTAGTACTCTTCCTTCCATGATAAGCAAACCGGGAGACGATATCCTCTTAGAGATTCTGATTCTCGATCAGCTTCCCAAACCCTAAATCCGCCTGCCGTTGCAAAATCGTCTGCAAGCGCTGGAGCTCCCTGATTTCGAACTCCCGTTCAACCGCCGTTTCGTCTCTGACCGCCAGACCATGAACCAGAACTAACCACCTCTGTCGACCAATCCGGACCACCTAAAATCGATCATCCTCAGCTTTCTCCCTCCATGCATGCCCAACGACCGTAGAGTCACTCTCAAAGTTTTGGATTGCTTCAAGGACTTGGTTTTATGCGGGTCCCCTGAGAGGACGAGGAACCAGGCAGGTCGTACTTTTTCTGCAATCCGTTTCCACTCTCTCTTCAATAGAAAATTATGTCGTGTGAATTATGTTCCGTTACTAGGTTTTCACTATCGTTATTAACCTAGAAAAATACAAATCATTGTGAAGGTGGACAATCAACACAAAACATTATGCAATTTCCAAACTGTTGAAGTTAATCTACAACTTACAAAAGTCTTCCTTTCTTCAAAATGCTCCACGATATGTCAAAGTGAGCACACTCTTTTGATTTTTCTATCCAAATAGTCTCCAAAAGTGGCTACTAAGGTTCCCCTCTTGCTATATTTTTCTGCTCCTTTTAAGCACAATTTATGCAAATTTTCCTTTCACAAAACAAGGCACTTTTAGCTCCCATTTCCAAGAAAAAGCTGCTCCCAGCTAAAGTCAATTTTCTTGCAATAAATTTCTGCATCATTTTATCTATTGGTAAGCCACCAAATCCATTTGCTCACTTCAAGAAATCTGATCAAATCCCAATAATTTTTTAGAGCGGCTCACAGTTGAGTGAAGATCCAACCCACAATAATTCGATTTGGGTCTTCATCGGCCTTGCATCCTGCTGGACATTTGCCTCTGCATGTCTGCACTTTGCCGTTGAATCAGTATTCGTCGGCTACACTTCTTTTGTTCACAATATTAACTTCAATCTGTGTTAAATTACTAAATGTCTTGATAATGACACTAGGATCATTCCATGATCAGTATGAACTAGCTTATTACCCGGCCCGTTGGCCGGATTACTTTATGTTACCCACTTGTGGAATGGGAGAGAAAGCAAGTGAGAGTGAAGGGATTGAGATTCCACTTGATTAGGACCGACCCACTAATCCGATTCTTCACGACCCGCCCCAACCTAAAGGGTCAGAAAGAGTCAATAAGAAAATACGAACGAAGAGGATTAGTCATATATCTTGACTCTTCAGAAGTGGGTCAAACAGGATCAAGGTTGGGTGAGGGCAATTTTTAGCGCTAAGCAGAGTTCTGGGTTGAATAACTTTACTTAGACCTAAAAATTGGTGCTGATGCAGATTGTAGTTTTTATTATACCATCATCAATCATCATTGAATTAGTCCTGGGCATCCCTCCCCGTTGTCGGTCTGAATTCTAATGATGGCTTCATTCCTTGCACCAGCCATATCAGCGAGTTGTCATCTTGAGCATGATTTGCCTATGTACAAATGATACAATTAGAGTATGAAACTGAATTCAAAGAAAAGGAAAAGAGAATTCTATCACATGCCAATAAATACACACATAATAGTTGAAGCTAAGTGAAAGTCATTACTCGCACATCAATTCTCAAAAATTACAGACTAAACAATGGCTAGAATGGCATTGAAACTACCAAGAATCATGGACGAAACAACTTGTCAAATTAAATAATCCTTATACTGAAACTACCTTCTAACTTGAAATAAGACATGATCACAGTTCATAGCACTCTTATCACTATGAATTGGTTGCAGCTCGTACTTATCACTGCCTCCCAAGCTCAATTCAAACTGAATAGAGACCGTTATGTAAGATAACCATATCCTTACACTGATCATAATTCCTTTCTTCACTCCATTTTTGTCGGAGAAAAGCGTTATCCTCCTCTCATGTGTTTCCCTTTCCCCCTCTCTTCTCCCTCTTCTTCACAAACCGATCCCTAAACCAGCAACAACAACACAAAAATAGCCTTCGCCTCTGCCATCTCCATCTACTGAACGCGTTGGTGGCAAGACAGGACTGCAGAAGGAAAATTTTCTAAAATCAAACTAAATTTTTTGAAGGAGACTTAACCACGAAAAAAGAGTAAAGCAACAATGCTAATAGTTCA